GAACTTAAAGATAAAGTTAATAATGCAAATAAAGATAAAAATAAAATTATAGATTTTGCAGCCAATGATGGCATTGAATTTAAATTTATTCCAAGTTATTCACCTGTTTTTGGAGGTTTGTGGGAAGCAGGAGTAAAAAGCACCAAATATCATTTAAAAAGAATTGCTGGAAATTCTATTTTGACTTACGAACAATTAAATAGCTTAACTATTGAAATAGAAGGTATTTTAAACTCGAGGCCAATTACTCAAGTTACAAACGATCCTTCTGATCTATCATATTTAACGCCCGGTCATTTTTTAATAGGTGCACCTATCACCAGCTATCCTCAATCAGATTTAACGACAGTACCCCAAAACAGATTAAAATGTTGGGAATTATTAACCAAATTGCAACAGCAATTTTGGAAAAAATGGTATAATAGTTATTTAACGCTATTACAAAATCGACCAAAATGGCAACATGATGTTACAAATTTAAAAGAAAATATGTTGGTTATTCTAAAAGATGATAACTTACCCCCTTTAAGATGGCCCATGGCCAGAATAACAAAAATTATTCCTGGTAAGGATGGAAAAGTAAGAGTAGTGGAAGTGCAAACCCAAAAGGGCACTTATTTGCGGTCATTAAGCAAAATTGCGGTTTTGCCAATAAACTAAATGTACAAATATAAATATTAGTCTTAGCTTAAATTTAAAAAAAAAAACTGTAAATATTAGGTAGGTAGAACTTAACAAAAAAAATACAAAAAAATAAATAAATATTTATTAAAATAATAACTATATCCAAATATGTTGTAAGGCAACAAACAAACAAAAAGGTACTTATAAATACATACTTACCTGCTGAAAATTAAAATGGTTTCTTTTTTGAGACTTCAGAAAAAAGCTGGCAATATTGGCTTCTTCTGGGCCCCCAGCATGTTGGCGACAAAGTTCCCAACAAACAAAATAAAAACAAGCGCGGTCTTTTCAAATTAATACAAACAAACCCCAAACAGAGGGCGCAACGTCCTAAGAACACGCTAAGCCGTGCAATCGCAGTCAGTCGCCAGAAAAAGTGCAGACAAGTAAGCATGCAGCTCTATTTAAAAAGAAAAAGATTTTAAGATATGTACATACAAAAGTTTTATGTATCATATTGTGTGTAAATAGTGTAAATAAAAATGTAGATAGAAGAAAGAAGGAAGTTTTAATAAAAATACAGTCCACAAAAACAAAAATCAGCTATTCCTGGTAAAACAAGCGGTCTGTTTGGAAGTTTGGGAAGCTGCTGCCGCTGTTTTAGCGGTAGGCCTGATTGCTTTGATACGGTCGTAAAAAATACCCAATCCTGTCTTGTTGTACGGTTTTAGGTAGAGTTCTTTTCCCATTGCTATTGCCTCCATTTTTTTATTGTGACGATTTGATTCATCAAGTTGTTTTTTGGCTGACCGAGCATCACCAATAGCCTTGGCTATTCCTGCTGCACCGCCTGCTAAACTTTCCAATACTGATAGCCCAGCAAATATGGGTATAAGAGGTAGAAAACCGGAATTGGAATTTGGAATTTTAATAACACGACCACTACTGGGTTTTATTTGATGTTTAATCTGTTTTGCTGCATTCAATGCCACATGAATGACATTTCCCAAATTTTTGTAAAATTTGTTTTTTAATATTTCCAACAGCTGTTTGAAATCCAATGGACTTAAAGATTGTTTTTGACTACATTTGCTCTTTCTTTTTTTTGTCGACGACATATTTACAGAACGAGGACAAACACTAGACTAGATTAGTAGACGCGTTGTTTTTTATTTAAAACATTTTCCTCCTTCTCCTCCTCGTCTTCCCCCAGCCTACGTTTTTTAGAGATGGTTGTTGCAGGATCAATCAACGGTTCACTTAGATTGATCTTTTTTTTAATTTCATTAACAATGGTTAAATCATCATTTTCTGATTTTCTTTTTCGTTGTAATCGTTTTGTTGTTGACTTTTCACGCCTCCTTTTTCGACGACGATGCATTTCTGGAATATTTAGTTTGTTTTCCAGTTCATCCAAATCCGGTGCTTTTCTTTTCTTTTGTTGTGGTTGTTTTGTTGCCTTGTATGTTTTTTCATGTTTCCTTTGTCGATTACGACTTCGATGTATTTCTGGAATATTTTCCTTGTCTTCTAGTTCATCCAAAACAATAACTGGTGTTTTTGCTTTTTTCATTCGTTTATTTATACCTCGAATACTGCCTTTGCTGTTGCTGCTGCTGCAGCTGCTGCTACTACTACTGTTTTTTATTGTTTGCTTTTTTGATAACAATACACCCATACATTTTTTCACTTCCAGCAACACCTTTTTGTCGAACGTTTCGTTTTTGTCAATTGAATTACACATTTTCCAAGTTTCGTTGTCTCCATTTTTTTACTTATTCCCATACCAGGTTTTAATTTTTTTTTATAGCTCCTGCTACAGCTAGGGAGGCAAGTCTTTCACCCATCGATGCGTCTTTGGATCTGAATCGTCCCATCGATTCTGCAGCTAATATTCTATCGGCTTCGTGACGCAACTTTAAATCTTTGTTTAACGAGTATTGAATGTCATGTTTTCGACAACTTTCATCCAACCCATTAACACCTTTATCTTTACGAGCTAATTGTTCTTGTAATTTTGTTCCAGGACCACAATAATTGTAACCTGGTAAATGTAACTCGAAGGGTAGTTTATTAATTGCAGTATTTAATAAACCAGATCCCATATAATATTTCATATTTATTCAACAAGTGTTTGCTACACTCCAACTATCATAAAGTACACTGTACACTTGTATTTATACTTCAGGTGATGTTGACACAGCAACGGTGTTTGTGCAAATAACAAAGAAAATGAAAATTGTCAAGCAAAAAACTTGTTTAAACGTGGAAAACACTGATAATAAAGAATTTGGAGAGCAAAAGCTTGTAAAACATGGAAAACTATTTCCATCCACTATTAAATGTCTTGTTATTGGTCCATCAAACTGTGGAAAAACCAACGTAATGATTTCTCTCATCGAACACGAGAATGGATTAAAATTCTAAAACGTGTACATTTATTCGCGCTCGCTCTATCAACCTAAATACATCTATCTGGCTGAATTGTTGCGACCAACAAAGGGAATTAATTAAACCAAGCCCAACTCGATATTTATTTTTATTTAAACTACCAAAATAAGGTGAAAACTACCAAAATAAGGTGAAAATGTGCAGGAATAAATGTTTTTTTCCATCACAAAACAATTGAAAAATATTCAAAGAGAACTACAAACAACTGCTACAAATAAACAGCAAGTGTCAGTAATATCTCCTCCCCCACCACCTTCTCCACCACATGGAAAATATAAGGTTAAAAACAAAAAACCTAAATTACCTGACACCATAAAACATAAAACGTTAGCATTCTGACATCAGTTAATCCTGCAAAAATTAGTAAAAGAAGAGCGGTATAGTATAATTAACGTTGCCGTCATTTCCAAAGAAAAAAGAAGGGGATATTAGCTCATTAAAAAATTCCATATTGAATGATATTAGCAAGGAAGATGAAGATGATAATTATGTTGTTGAAAGAGCTTTTACTAAATCACGTAGGGAAGAAATTGAGAAAAAAGCTTTTCTTGATTATCTAGATCAATATAGGTAATGAAACATTACCAAGAAAATATGTGAGGGAAATGTATGAAGATACGCAAAATCAATTTGATCATAAACATGGAGTACGATTTATCCCGCAAGAAGAAAAATTTTATATCGGTAATTCTAAAATATTAATAGATGGTTCAGATTTTGTGGTTCAAAATAAAAAATACAAAGGAACTTACGGGCTGTACGAATTACTCTTTGAAAAGAAAAGGATTTAAAGCAGAAGATGAAAAAGTATATAGACAGATTGTGTTAAAACCAAACGCACACCGACGATTTTATAAGTGCAATCAGCAAGTTGCTGTAGTAGGAAAAAAAGGTATTAGCTCCACTTGTCGTAGGGGAGGGTATATTTTTGAAAGCAAACAACAACAAAATCGATTACGTTTACTTTGACGATCCAAACAAACTGGTCGAGAGATTGCGTGAATTGGTTAACCAACAAACCGACAAACAAAATATAGCGTTGTGACTGTAATGCGAATATGTTGCGCCCTACAGTCGCAAATCGCAATGGTCCGACATCGACCGGCACGCGTACGTCGACAACAGGGACAATTGTCTGAATTGCCTTGGCACATGCGAGTGCATAGGTCTGACTGACAAAAATTGGCACATGCGTCCAAACGTCCAAACTGGTCACAAGTGTCCGTTCATAATGGACACAAATGTACGTCCGTAATTGACACAAATGTACGTCCGTAATGGACACAAATGTCCGTCCGTAATAGACGCAAACATACGTCCGTAATGAACACAAATGTCCGTCCGTAATAGACACAAACGTCCGTACGTAAGGCACAAATGAACCCCTTCTGCAATAAGCTTAAGGAACGAACCGAGATTCTTTTTTTCAAATTTTGGTAGTTGGTTCCTCGAAATCACAATATTTTTGTGATTCCAAAAAACCAACCAAAACATTTTGAAAAAAAACTGCAGGTTGTTTCCTTTTTGCAGAAGGGGGTGAAAATGTAGGTCTGTACTGGTCTAAAATTTTAAATGCACGTCCATAATGAACACAAGTATACGCTCGTCTTGAACGCAAATGTTGGTTTATTCGGGACACAAATTCACGTTCGTTCACAAACGATTTTCTTCTTACTTTTCTTCTTTGGATCAATAAAAAAAGGGGGGCTGATTTTAAAACAATATATTAAAGTAAAATATGAATATAAACTAAATAATATTTCTCTTTGTTTAAACATAAAATAAATAAAGTGTAGGTACTTGTTACTAAGTGGTACAAAATAATAAAAATAATATTTTCAGTTCAATAGAATAAAATAACAATCTGTAATACAGACTCTGTATGCAGAAGAAAATGTGTAAATGCCTCTGTATTACAGAGGCATTTACACATTTTCTTCGGCTTTTCTTTGTTTATCTTCAACCCGCTTCTTATTTTGCGAACTTCTTTTACAAAAATCTTTTAGAGCCTTGACGACATTTTCTCTGGGTTCTTCACATTTCATTTTTATTGTAACCATCACAAGATTAATAATGCCTTCCAAATCGGAAAATACTAGTTTTGTTACATTATCTAAAATTAAATGAATTTTAGCTGAAGTGTTATACAATCTTAACTGCTTACCGTTTAATATCCCTGATTTTCCACTCCAACTGAAGTTTTCATACACATCGTATATTGCCACGCGTTCCATTAAAATTCTCACGGATTTCTTAAGACTATTTGATGTAACAACTAGGTCCTTTAGTCTGATAGCCTATAATAACGTTTATGATTTAAACAATTTTTAAATTTCTTACCGTCTGCTCTAGATACTCCTTCGCAAGTAGCAGTCTGTTGAATTTAAGGAACCTCTCTATTGTGTGAATTGGTAGTGTAGCCATTTCAAATAAGTCATCCTTTTTTACATCATTGAATTATGCGGCTATAGAGTGGGCAATTTTTGTTTGCATCATTTGAGTTAAGTTTATTATATTACTGTTTAGATTTGATACATCATTTTTTATTTCTGCCGTGTCTTCTAATATTTGCTTTATTTTGGTTTTATTTTTTGTAATTGTTTTTTTAATACCTTCTAGCTTAGCATTGATCTTTGCTAGGCTATAATAAGGACCACCAGAAATGTGAATATTTTCGGGATCCACATTCTCTTTTACAGCACTGGAGGCTCCTTTTCCCAGCACATTTTTTTTGAGCATTGTTTTTTCTTTCTGTTGTTTTTTCGAAACAATATTTATTGGAAGAACTAAGTGACTGATGTCGTCTGCTACATTCTGTTGAAAATCCGCATTTTCTTCTTGGCCGTAAACTGTTGCATTGCAAACGATTTCATTTACTAGCTTGAAGCTAGTTCATTTTGGGTGTTAACTGCAGGTTTAAGATGTTCAACTTCGACAACTTGGACATTACTAAACTGGTGAGCTTTCTGCAAAGAGAATGGCATTTCATGTATCTCCGCGGTCGTAAGTATTTGATTTCTGTCATCATTTTGACAACTGCAATATTCAATATTATTCTCATTACATAGTGTATTATTGACGTGTATAGTGGTATTAATATCTCATGGCAGGTGACCTTGGGCGCGCAAACGTCACAAATCCGTCAAATCGCGCTATTACTCGCCGTCCTAAAAACATACTACCCCAGGGTTGGCAATGCTAGCATCAGCTGATATTTATTGACATATTTAAACATATTTATAGGCTAGAAATTCTATTATATTTGTTATATCATATTTATCATATCATATTTGTTATAATATTATATTTGTTATATTTGTTCTATTATTATATTTGTTATATTTGTTCTATTATTATATTTGTTATAATATTATATTTCTTATACGAAATGAATAACGGCAAAAAAGAAGTCATTAATTCGGATTATACACAGATTCTATTCTTTTTTTTATTGAAATCCATTATATATTTTACAGATCATTGCTCAACAATTGAAGACCTTGCTGCAAAAAGGGGGTAACTTTTACAAAAGTGACTTTTACACCCTTATAACTTTGAACTAGACTATTCTGCATTTATATATATCACCAAACTCTTTGACAAATCGTTTTAATAAAGAATCTGCCAGAGCTTTCTGTTCAGTTGCGTGCCAGGGATCACATAATAATACTATAGCAACGTAAACTAACAGAAAATGATTGTACTTAGCAAGAGATAAAACATTTTTTAGTACAACTGGCCCAGTAAACTTTATAAACGTCCTAAATTCAGTACCCTTAAAATTTCCTACTTCTGAGAGAGATCTTAGTCTTCTATGAAACTCCGTAGGTTGACTGCATTCAAGTTGTAGCAACCTGCTTGAGATAATTTGAATGTCTTTACTGGGTAACAAAGCCTTAGTGTCTCCTGAAATCCACATTTTTAAAAGTCTTTTTACTACCCCAGCAGGAATTGTTTAATAATATCAATATTTAATGACTCAATAATAGAAGTTTTATGCTGGTAGTTTTTGTCAGATTTCTTCCTAAAAGACTCGTTTGCCCTGAGAGGAGCATCAATTTCAAGGTAGCACATTTTGTTGTTTATAAATGTTCCTTTCTGAAAACATTTTGGGCAACCAAAATACCCATTAAATGATTTTGTCCCTAGAGTAGCACATCTTGCGGGCGCATCCAAGGGAAATACTCTAATTTTAATTTCTACCACCTGATCATTTATTGTACAGTGGTTCATTAGAACAAGAAGCTCTTCTACAAAATCTTTTAGAAAAATATTAAAGTCCGCTGGTTTATATAAACCATAATAGACACCAATTACGAATACAGGGCTTTCTATAATATTTTGGCACCTTCCCAAAATTAACCAAAATCCACTATTGGCACTCCATCTATATTTATGTCCAAAAATATCTTTTTCGGTACAGATGAATTCTTAAAAATTGCAGACAAATTTGTCAAAATACCTATATGAACATATTTGCCAGGATCAACTTGAATTATTTTTCTTTTAGCAGGAGTATTTAAGAAGGTTCTGCTGTCCGCAGGTAAGTATGGATGGCCATTACTTTTTAAAAACTGTAGTAGCTCACTTAAAGCTGTTTGTGTAATATTGTTTTTAAAGTACCAGCTCTTCAAAAAGCTTTCAGTTAAAAGAACCTTGTCTAAGTCACCGCCTTCTGGTTCAATATCAGATATTGAGTCTTTTTCCACAAAGTCGTTTTCCTCGTCGTTCTCACTTATTTGTCTAAGAGCAAATTGACCGTTGAAATTCAAATTTTCTAAACTTTGAACATTTTTTTGATTTATAGGTTTGTTAAGAACAAGTAAACTATTACAATTGCTTTCAGATACCGTTTGACTGCCCTTGTTATATATATATATATATATATATATATATATATATATATATATATATATATATATATATATATATATATATATATATATATATATATATAAATATATATATATATATACTATATATATATATATACTATATATATATATATACTAGGGTGAGCCAAAAAAACTAACCTATCGGATTTATGGGTTAAAATGAACCTACATACCGAGCAAAAAATTTCCCTGCAAGGAAAAATTTTTTGCTTAATTTTAAAAGGTGTCGGTGAGCATTCTAAGTTTTCCATTGAAATAACACGTAAAAAAATCTTTTTTCATTAAAAAGACTTTTGAACCGTTTGAGATAAAAATTTTTACGTCGCGGATTCTTGTAGAGCATAAAATTTCCCAAAGAATCTATACCAAGATTATTTTTTTTAATTCAAAAATTCGCTTGTTTGAAAGCTTTGAAAAGTGTAAAAAATCACTAAAACTGCAGTATATATTTCAAATGAAAATACGTCATAAATGTTATAAAGTGGCGGCACATTCTAAATTTTTTGTAAATAAGCATATAATTGCTGACAATAAAAAAAACTTTCTTATGAAGAAGCACAAATTTGCTAGAATTTGTAAAAGTGAATGAGATTTTTAAATTTATTTTGCTGAAAAGTAGTCATTTTTGACGACTTTGAATCGCTGTATCTTCGTTACTATACTTTTGATATGTACATTTTTAAAAAAATTCCCTAAAAGTTATAAAAATATATTTTTCGAACGTTTATTACGTATTAATAAATAAAAGGGCTTAAAAAATATTTTCTCGAAAAACCCTCGAACACGTAAACTGAGATATAAGTTGAAGTATTTTTATCCAAAATTTCATAAAGATTAATAAAGGCGTTTAAGAGATTTTTTCACAGTTGTTGCAATAATTATGGCCACTACTATAGGTAGGTAATTATTTTAAGAAATCGCAATAAAATTTTAATTTTGGCTTTAATTTTAACACGGCGAGACAGAACAATAACGGACGCAATCAGGCACACAGGGTCCTACTTTTTTAAATCTGTAATTGTAAAAATAAATATAAGTATACTTATTCATAAATATTATTCAGGCAGGTAAATAAATAAGTATTTATTAATGTAAAATGTAAAATATTTTCCTCCCAAAAAATTGACTCGTCTTTTGACTAGAGAAGACTGCTACGGGCGCATTCGACCACTCGGCGTCCACGCTTAAGGTATTGCTGATTTAACTTGGCATTTATTACCCTACTCCTATAAATTTTATAAAAAAATAGTACCTTTGTTAGGGAAGACTTCGAAGTCTTCGAATTCTAAACCCAATAAACAATTTTGCTGGTCAGATTAATCCAATTTCCAACTCATATGCAACACACGTACACACTTTCATATGATGTCGGCAACCATTACTAAATATGACGTATGAGAAATATTTATATCATGCAAGTGCAGACGTACGTCGGGTATCGCAAAGTGCAGACGTACGTCTGGTATCGCAAATCAAGGATTTCATCGCAAATAACCAAAAAAATAACAAATGTTTAACGTTTTTACTAAACATATTATTTATTACATATTAATATAATATTATATTATTTACTTTTATTAAATATTATATTATTTACTTATTATTAGTATTATTTACTTATGACAACCGTCAAACAAGTTTTACTATTTTTATTAATTATAACTGAGGAAAATTAAAGTTATCGCATAAATATGAAAAGGCAGCAGAAGAAGAACACCAAATTTATTACAGACGTTAAAAGGGATGTGGTCGAAGAACTTCATAAACCAGCTAGAATTCATTTCAAAAGACGCAGAATCATCATCAAATCCTTTGACGATCTATTACAAGCAGACTTGGTGGAAATGATACCATACTCAAACATAAACAATGGTTACAAATACATTTTGGTAGTTATAAATTGATTTTCCAAATATGTGTGGGCATATCCGTTAAAAAATAATAGTGCTGTGGAAATTCGCAAGGCAATGGAAAATGTTTTTAAAAAACAAGTTCCACGAAACATCCAAACCAATTTGGGAAAAGAGTTTTACAATGAAGAATCTAACAATCTTAAACCAACAACTGTTTAAAGAAGCCAGAAAATTAGCTAAAGATAAACAAATTAAAAGAGCATTTTGTGTTGATGGTAAAATATTTATAATAAAAAATGATAGTGACGTACCAAAACAAATTTACAGTATAAATGGTTTTTAGTTCATTTATATTAAACAACATGCAAAAAATAGTAAATAAACAAACAAAGAAATGGATAAATTAGAATTATTGTATATAAATATTAGAAGCTGTAAAAACAAAATGCATGAAATTGAAACTCTTTTAAGAACCACTAAAAATGAAATTAAAATATTAGTTTAAACAGAAACATGGATAAATCCTGGAGAAGAAGTTTACTACAACATTCAAAATTATCAAGCTGTTCATAATACTAGAAATCGAAGAGGTGGAGGAACAGCCATTTACATAAAAAAAGAATTAACATTTAACATAAGTTCTTTAAATTTTGCTGATTTAGAAGACTGTAATCCACTACAAATATACATATATGATTACGATTTTAATTTGTTGGTTTTTTACAGACCACCAAATTATAATTTGAATAACTTTTACAGTGGAATTGATAAAATATTAGAAAAAAACTAAACAAAATGCATTATTTTAGGAGAAATGAATATAAATCTTTTAAATAACAGTGATCAGGTGGAACGCTATAAAAAACATAGTAGTCATGAATGGGTATATAATTCAAAATAAATTAACTGATGAGAATGCCACACGTACAGCAAATTCCACAAATACACTAATAGATCATGTTATTTCAAATTATTTACAATGCACTGTCCTTGTTGTTTTTCTGATCATAAATTATTGTTTGTTTCAGTCAATGTTTGTCATAAAAAATTGGAAAACACAAAAAAATCATAAAAAAATTGAATTTTGATAACTTTAAAGCTAAAATGTCAGAGCAGTTAATAAAAAAAGAAATAAAAAGCTTTGGTGAATTAATACAATACAAGTAGAAAAAAAATAATTGCACCAAATAAAAAATAGTTAAGCACAAAATTGGAAAAGATTGGATTAATCAGGCATTTATCAATTTAGTAAAAGAGAGATAAAACATATAAAAGATGGAAATTGACAAACAATATATACCTGGAAAAGGTCTTTAAAAAACTTAAAAACCAAGTAA